TGTGCTGTCGAGTGTTTATGGTCTGAATAATTTCTACTGCAACAACTTCATGTGCTACTGCGTGTATGTAGCTCTAGCTGTGACTCTGTACCAGATATGGCAGTTGGACGAGGTTCTGTTCCTGCTGGCTGCTTAATCATAGTACCAACTCACAAATAGACAGCACCACTACATGCCAGGCGCAAGCCGTCTGTCTGAATTCGGTCTTTGCAGCCAGAATTTTCAATTTACACACAGATGTTGTCAGCCCAAGTGTGATCCCCTTAGTGAGGAGACAGAGGCTGTGGCCAATTTTGTAAAAAAATAGGGTGAGCTGCTTTTCTACGAGCATTTAGCTGGAGTTAATAGGCAGCAAAATAGAGCTAGCATGTTTGTCTGGAATAATATCCCGGGAAACATCTGCCGTGTTTTGCTAACTGAAGAAATACCAGTTCGCCGGCATGCTACGCTTGCTACTTGAGCATTCTATGTATGTATACGGATGCTGATAAATGGTTAATTTCTACTGCAAGAACATTGTGCGTTCTGAACTGTTCGGAGTGTGTTCTACATGACATTGTTCCTGTCTATCTACTATTTCACGCATTAATTATTCCTTATCTTATATGCAGACTCTAGGAATAGACCATGCCATGGCATCCTTCATTTGCCATGCCATGATCATGCCTATGTTTGCATATACAAATGCTCATAAATGTTCAATTTCTCCTGCAACAACTTCATGTGCTATGGAGTGTTTATGTTCTGAATAATTTCTCCTGCAACAACTTCATGTGCTGTGGAGTGTTTATGTTCTGAATAATTTCTACTGCAACAACGTCATGTGCTACTGCATGTATGTCGCCCTAGCTGTGACTCTTTACCCAAGCAGGCAGTTGGATGAGGTTATGTTCCTGCTGGCTGCTTAATCATAGTACCAACTCATGACTAGACAGCACCACTACATGCCGGCGCAAGCCGTCTGTCTGAATTCGGTCTTTGCAGCCAGAATTTCCAGTTTACACACAGATGTTGTCAGCCCATGTGTGATCCCAAGTGAGACAAAAGCTGTGGCCAATTAGGTAAAAAATAGGGTGAACTGCTTTGCTACGAGATTTAGCTGGAGTAAATAGGTAAAATACAGTTGTGCACGTGTGTCTGGAATACTATCCAGGGAAACATCTTCCGTGTTTTGCTTACTGAACAAAATACCAGTTGGCCGGCATGCTATGCTTGTTACTTGAGCATTCTATGTATGTACACGGATGCTGATAAATGGTTAATTTCGACTTCAAGAACTTTGTTTGTTCTGGACTGTTTATATTCTGAGTGTGTTCTGCATGACATTATTCCTGTCTATGTTCTCATTCACCTGTTAATTATTCCTTATCTTACATGCAGACTCTAGGAATAGACCATGCCATGGCGTCCTTCATTTGGCTTTGCGGGCCCATTACTGGTTTTGTGGTAAGTTTTTGCAACGACACAGTTGCTGATTTTGTTCAGAGTCTGTAATGTGAGGTCTCATGTCTCTAACTGGCTGGTTACCCTCTGACACCAGGTTCAACCGTGTGTTGGTGTCTGGAGTGACAAGTGCCGCTCCAAGTACGGGAGGAGACGGCCGTTCATTTTGGCTGGATGCGTGCTGATTTGTGCAGCTGTGAGTATATATATCATGTTTGATAGTTTACAGTATATTCCCCATTCTTTCCCTGCTCTCTAATAGGCAGACTTCATACTCGTAGGTAACTTTAGTCGGGTTTTCTGCAGACCTTGGCTACATGTTAGGAGACACCACTGAGCACTGCAGGTAATCATCCATTCGTTCTGGTTGCTTGTAACACTTTAGCATCAGCTGTATCACCATCACTAAAATGCTAATAATTGTTCATACAGTACATACAAAGGTCTACGATATCGAGCTGCTTTTATTTTCATTTTTGGATTCTGGATGCTGGACCTTGCAAATAATACAGTTCAAGTAAGCCTATTTCAAACTTTACATGATATCTTATGAATCGACTCCCAGTCTCTGTAAATGTTGCTGGAAAGTTGAATTACTCTTCTCCTAATATTTTGTTCATTCTTGATAGGGACCTGCTCGTGCCCTCCTAGCTGATCTTTCAGGTGGTTAATACATTCAGTTAGAATTTCTACTAATGCTGGATCCACCCTTATAATATCAGTTATCGAATAATACATTCTACTATGCAGGTCCCGATCAATGTAATTCGGCAAATGCAATATTCTGCTCATGGATGGCTGTTGGAAACGTTCTTGGTTTTTCAGCTGGTGCGAGTGGGAATTGGCACAAGTATGTCGTGTTTTGTGTTATTCTGTGCTTACATTAGCTTGAACCTTGTTGTCCAAGAGTAGATTCATGCCACTATCCAGAAAGAACCAAACTTATGCTAGTTGACATAAATTTGTAGGTGTGCAGTAGGTAATATCTTAAACTTATACTCATGCTACTATTTAGAAAAAAGATCCTTCTGGCTTATTATGTTAGTCAAGCTGTGTCTGTAAATAGTATGCTTGCTCACCCTCCTTGGTGTGATGTGCTTTACTCGAGTTATGGTCTTGCAGTAGCATAGGGTACTTGTAATCCCACAACTTGTTTTTCCAACTTTCTACTTCCTGACAAAGATAGCTGGCCAGCTTTTTATTAATTTCTAGTCCTGAGAGTTCTCTTGTCAACCGCAGTTCATTTCCCCGTAAAAAACTGACCTTCCAACTCTTTATTTTATATTTATGCAGGTGGTTTCCTTTTCTGATGACTAGGGCCTGTTGTGAAGCTTGTGGTAATTTGAAAGCAGCTTTCTTGATTGCAGTTGTAAGTTCTCAGAGATTCTGCAATTGACCTAGGTGTCCGAAGTTAGGTTTCCCAATATAATTGTACAAGTGCATTGCTGGCAAAAGAGTAAGCTGACTAATTATGTATCGTGCAGGTATTCCTTCTGTTTTGCATGGCTGTTACCCTCTACTTTGCTGAAGAGATTCCACTGGAACCAAAGGATGCACAGCAGTTATCTGACTCGGCTCCTCTACTGAACGGTTCTAGAGATGATCATGATGCTTCAAGTGAACAGACTAATGGAGGACTTTCTAACGGTCATGCTGATGCAAACCATGTCTCAGCTAACTCCAGTGCAGATGCAGGTTCCAACTCGAACAAGGACGATGTTGAGGCTTTCAATGATGGACCAGGAGCAGTTTTGGTTAATATTTTGACTAGCATGAGGCATCTACCTCCTGGAATGTATTCTGTGCTTCTGGTTATGGCCCTAACATGGGTATGCTATAAAAATGGATTACATGGATAGGTGCGCATCAGCTGCTTGCTGATGGTCTCTTTTTGCTGGAAACTGATGGTGTTCATCACTTTTTATCTGTTTTGCAGCTGTCGTGGTTTCCCTTTTTCCTTTTTGACACCGACTGGATGGGGCGTGAGGTTTATCACGGTGACCCAAAAGGAAACGCGAGTGAAAGGAAAGCTTATGATGATGGTGTCCGAGAAGGTGCATTTGGTTTGCTATTGAATTCAGTAAGAGCCTGTGATCAATTTTGTTCACTATAAATTTTGTACGTCTAGGGTAGTACCTGCCGATCTTGGTAAAGCAAATACTTTGAAAGATTAGTTACATGGTTTGTGGTGGTTTAAAAGCATTGCAGTTGGATGTAAGTGCCAATGTATTTTTAGTCAGCGGCGGTAATATTTGGTTCGTTCATGTAGGTCGTCCTTGGGATTGGCTCTTTCCTTATCGATCCATTATGCCGGATGATTGGTGCAAGATTGGTTTGGGCAATCAGCAACTTCATAGTGTTTGCCTGCATGTTGGCTACAACAATACTAAGTTGGATCTCCTATGACCTGTACTCGAGCAAGCTTCAACATATTGTCGGGGCAGATAAAACAGTCAAGACCTCAGCGCTTATTCTTTTCTCTCTTCTCGGATTGCCACTCTCGGTTAGTATCAGACCCTCAACACCTTCTTTTAGTGCAACTGGAAGATGTCTTATCCCCTCTGCTCTTGCATATTCAGATCACTTATAGTGTTCCGTTCTCCGTGACTGCTGAGCTGACTGCCGGAACAGGAGGCGGACAAGGTTTGTGTCGCCGGTGTTTGCTTCTTTGCAGTATGTTTCAGTTGTTAATCTTGACTGAGAATGTCTGCCCATGTTCAGGTTTGGCTACTGGAGTTCTGAATCTTGCCATCGTCGCTCCTCAGGTCGGCCTTTATACCTAGAATGATCTTCTATGTCATGCATCGTCGCTGAACATGTCTTGACCTTTACGACTGTCGACCGCATTCTACTTTGCAGATAGTAGTGTCACTCGGAGCAGGCCCATGGGACAAGCTCTTGGGGGGAGGGAACGTCCCCGCTTTCGCCCTGGCCTCGGTCTTCTCGCTAGCAGCCGGAGTGCTCGCGGTGATCAAGCTGCCCAAGTTGTCGAACAATTACCAATCCGCCGGCTTCCACATGGGCTGAACCCTGAAGCCCGAAGCCAACTGCTGTGTGTAACATCCAGATGTTCAGTACCAATCTTCAGTACCAATCCGCCGGTTTCCATATTAAGATTCGTTCATATGGAGATGATTCTTTTTCTCCTCTTGCTAGATACACAGTTAATAAGACTACAGATCAGATAGACTAGGATAAAGAGATAGTTTTTAGGCCTGTGTGCATACAAGTGTCGATGAGAAGTTGTAAAACATGTACACTGTTTTTTTGTACTGTATATGTAGTGAAATTTCATAGATGGCCGGATGTGTTCTGGTCCGATAATTCTTGTGTTTTTGGTCTGTTCTGGGATGAACTTGGCATGTAGTCTTGGTTTGTGTTGTGATGATCATAATGAAAATCTGAACTGAAGCATCAGACTGATAAAATTTGATGACAGAATATTCTTAATTTTAGATTGCAAAGATGAACTAAAACGCAAGAAAAAGTCAATCGAATACAGATTGCTCCACAATCCAAGATTGCAAAATCACACAATTGGATCTATTTATCATCTACTAGTCGCTGTAGAAGCTACTTGTGTTCTTCTTGCCGTCCTTGTTGGTCTTCTTGTTCCTCCGGCGGCGCCGGTCAGCCTCCTCCACCCGCCGGACGGCGCGCTCCAGTGTGTCGACCCGCTCCGCCAGGGCACCAATCAGAGCGCACTGCTGCGCGCTCCGTTCGCACAGCGCCGCCACCATCTCCATTAGTTTCTTCGCGTCCAGCCCGCCGGTGGTCACCGTCTTCTTCTCCTCTCCTGCTGGTTCTTGCTGCTGCTGCAGTGCCTCGGGTGGTGCATGGTCCTCCTCGCCAGTGGAGACGTCGCCGTCCCCCGTGGCCACCATCTCCCACTCGCCCTCCGCCTCCGAGGCCTTCTCCACTTCCGCCACCAGTTCGGTCTCAATCTGGCCGTCCTCGTCAACAACGACGGTACTCGCCGCGTCAACCTCCATCGCCGCCATGTCGGTTGTCTCGGCATCCAGAGAATCCGCCGCAGTGTTGTCCTCAATCGGCAGCTCCAACTCCGGTTCTATCCCATCCTCTGCTTCGTCCGCTGCATCCTGAACTTCCGTCGCATTGGCGGTCACCACCGCCGACATGGCCTCGAGCGCGTCAACGGCGTCCTGGAGCGCGAGCACACGCCGGGTGACCCTCCTGCGGTACTCCCGGGCGCCGTGCACGCCGTCGAGACGCAGCAGCAGCCGCATGAGCTCCTCCCCGAGGCCGATCCGCGCACGGGCGTCCGCGCGCAGCGCCTCCGCCTCGGCCGACAACCTCGCGGCCACGGCCTCCGCCTGCCGCTCCACCGCGCGCACCTCCCGCACCATGCGGCGAGCAAGCAGCCCACGCGCCGCCGCCTGCACCCTCACCGCGGCCTCCTCCGCCGACGGCGCCTGCTTCTTTGGAATCGCGGGCGGCGAGTCGGGCTCGGGGCCCGTGACCTCCACCTCAAAGCAGTCCGGGCTGCTCTTCGGGGACCCGCTGCTGGGCTTGGGACGCGCCGTGGTCTGCGGGGCCGGCTCGGTGGCGCCAAAGCCAGGGAAGAAGCCGCCGTCGTGCCGCGCCGGGGCCCTCCGGCGGGCGGGGCGCAGCCGCTCCGTGACGAGAGGTTCGGCGTCCATGAAGAAGGGATCGGCAGCGGCGGGGCTATAGTACGGGTAGGCGTCGTAGCCGTAGGAGGTCGGGTAGTAGTAGTCATACGGGTCATACCCGAAGAAACCGCCGCGGCGAGCCATTGATGGATGATGAGACGGTGAAGTCGACGTCGATCGCGTGGAAAGATGGATGGTAGGTCGTTTGTTGCCTGATTCTGTTTGTTGTTGTGTTGGGGAGATAAGAGGCGACCCTACTATATACCAGAGGAAACAACCTTCTCGAACGGGCGTAGAACGTTCTCGAAGGCTACAGAATTCTTGAGAAAGGGGCAGGGCGCTACCGTTTCTCGAGACGTCGCGCCTGACGCACCGGTTCGCTTAGCGGGCGCTCGCATGGGCCGGCCCAGCTACCACGCCCGCTCCTTCCCTTTCGTTTGCAAGTGCGCGTTTCATTTGTCTAAAAAACAAGGTGTGCGTTTCGTTCGTTTGTTCGTTTTTTTTTGTGTTCGTCCCTTCGCTCACAAAACTGAAAAAACGATTGGATCTGAAATTTACAAATTTGAATTTTTTCATCAATTCTAAAAACAGTTCATCAATTTTGAAACCAATTTCATGAAATTTGGAAAAAGTACATCGAATTTGAAAAAAATGTTCACCAATTTAAAAAGGTTCATCGAAATTTTTAAAAAAGGTCACTGAGTCTGAAAAAGTTCTTTGAATTTGACAAAAAGTTCATCGATTTTGCAGAAAAAATTCATGAAGGAAAAAGTTTTCTCGAACTTGAAAAAAGAAAGGAAAAAAGGGACAGAAAAAAGAAAAAAACAGAAGAAAGAACAAAAGGACAAAAACATGTAAGGAAACACAACAACTGAAGTGGTTCGGTGGTCGTCGCGTCCTGCTCTGAACTCGCTCGTCCAATCAAATATACTAGAAGCTAGCGCGTTTCACCACACCGGTCTTCACTCGTGGGATTAAGTTTTTTTTTATCTAGCAGATAATCATTGTCGGTTGTTTGGATTTGCTTTTAGTTATGTTATGGTATATATTTTTTCGTTCGTGCCAGGATACCACTAGATAAGGTATTTGTTTCGGATGCTGAGTGGGGTTGTCCGGTATGTAGTTGTGTTGTCCTTATACTTTTTGGCTTCGGTGTCAACTGGTGGTCTATGTGTTAATCCCTTGAAAGTTCCTATTTTCATATTGAAACTGTGAAATTGTTGATATAGGCTTCACTAGCACAAATGCCCGTGAGAATTTTTTATACGTCTCATGCCTCAATTAATTCTGTCCATCCTCATGTCCTCGTCTCTGTGTGCGCTCCATATAATTTCATTTTAATTAAAGAGCTTTCCTTCCTTATTTTCTAACTGATTTTCATCCTTATTCCTTATACATCTTCCTTATTTTGTCTCAATTCCTTTCCTTCCTTTCTTATCCTCTCTCAATTTCTCTCCTTCCTTTTTTCCTTGCTTGTCGGGAATTAGCAAGAGCCAGACCATCCCTCATAGCCATCGCTTCTGTGGTGATCACGACTGCTGCAAATGGAATTAATTTACACCGAGCCGCCAGAAAATTACCTCTATCATCCCCGAGTATAGCCGTCGTAGCTCCAACTCCTTCATCTGGGAAAAATACCGCGTTTGGTGAAACTCTTGTTTGGGTTACACCACCTGGGTTTGACAAGACCGAAAGTGACCATCTCCATGTTGGCGGAACCATTTCGTTATGTTTTTTTTCTATAGATCCATCACAAGTGCCAACCTCCGACTGCTATCACTTGTTGTAAAATTGAAGTTGGATGTATAGCTAGGTGTTCCCCCGGAAGAGATAAGATGTGTTTGAATATAACAGAACCTAGTCTGTCCACTGGCAAAGTGTGATCAATGAGCTGTATCGCCCCAAGACGGGTTACTTGCAAAACTCCATCCAGAAATCTTTAACCCTACGTGGAATTTGAAGTTTTCAAGAGTATTCCGGACAGACAAAGGGGTAGAGACACCAGGCAGCTTTATCATGTTTGCATGCACCCGGAAAGTATGTTTCCAGTCCTCACTTCAGAAAGAAAAAAATAAAATCCTATTCTATTTGGGTGCCATGCCACCGGGTTAAATATGAAATTTGAAAAAAGTTCATCGAATTTGAAAAAAAGGTTCATTGGATTTGAAAAAAAGGTTCATCGAATTTGAAACAAAGTTCATTAGATTTAAAAAAAATCATCAAATTTTAAAAAAGTTCACCGAATTTTAAAAAGTTCATCGAATTTGTTAAAGGGTTTTTATCACTTATGCCACTGGTTGTGTCTTACTACTCAGATTTTCCATTAGGAATTTTAAATGCTCAAAAATGCCATTGCTTCGTTAGGCGCATGCTCAAAAATGCCACTGAACACCATTAATGTCAGCTCAAATCTCGTTTGCAATGTCTATACTTTGGTTTTATATATGGATCCTCTCTCCGATTTCATGGCCTCGAGCCATTCGTCGGAATCCGGGCCCACCATCGTTTCTCCGTAGCTCGTAGGTTCATTGTTATCTAGCAACATGACTTCCAAGACAGGATTACGTACCACTCTGAAGTAGTACGCATCCTCGTCGACCTACGAGGTTTGGTAGTGACTTGATCCGAAGTTTCATGATCACTATCATAAGCTTCCACTTCAGTTGCTGTAGGTGCCACAGGAACAACTTCCTGTGCCCTGCTACACACTAGTTGAAGTGACGGTTCAATAACCTCATCAAGTCTCCACCATCCTCCCACTCAATTCTTTCGAGAGAAACTTTTCCTCGAGAAAGGACCCGTTTCTAGAAGCAATCACTTTTGCTTCCGGATCGGAAATAGGAGGTATACCCAACTATTTTGGGTATTCTATGAAGATGCATTTATCCGCTTTGGGTTCGAGCTTATCAGCCTGAAACTTTTTCACATAAGCGTCGCAGCCCCAAACTTTTAAGAAACGACAACTTAGATTTCTCTAAACCATAGTTCATACGATGTTGTCTCAACGGAATTGCGTGGTGCCCTATTTAAAGTGAATGCGGTTGTCTCTAATGCCTAACCCGTAAACGATAGTGGTAATTCGATAAGAGACATCATGGTATGCACCATATCCAATAGGGTGCAGTTATCATGTTCGGACACACCATCACACTATGGTGTTCCAGGCGGTATTAGTTGTGAAACAATTTCCACAATGTCTTAATTGTGTGCCAAACTCGTGTTGGGGAACGTAGCAGAAATCAAAAATTTTCTACGCATCACCAAGATCAATCTATGGAGTAATCTAACAACGAGGGAAAGGAGAGTGCATCTACATACCCTTGTAGATCGCTAAGCGGAAGCGTTCAAGTGAACGGGGTTGATGGAGTCGTACTCGCCGTGATCCAAATCACCGATGATCCTAGTGCCGAACGGACGGCACCTCCGCGTTCAACACACGTGCAGCCCGGTGACGTCTCCCATGCCTTGATCCAGCAAGGAGAGAGGAAGAGGTTGGGGAAGACTCCGTCCAGTAGCAGCACGACGACGTGGTGGTGGTGGAGGAGCGTGGCACTCCAGTAGGGCTTCACCAAGCACTGCGAGAGATGAGGAGGAAGAGAGGTAGGGCTGCGCCAGGGAGAGGTCAAAACTCATGTGTTGGCAGCCCCAAAGACCTCAACTATATATAGGGGAGAGGGAGGGGGCTGCTCCCCCTCTAGGGTTCCCACCCCAAGGGGTGCGGCAGCCCCAAAACCCATCTAGGGTGGTGGCCAAGGGGGAAAGAGGGGAAACTTGCCCCCCAAGTAAGGTGGAGGCGCCCCCTCCCCAAACCCTAGGCGCCTTGGGCCCTGGTGGGGGGGCGCACCAGCCCACATGGGGCTGGTCCCTCCCACACTTGGCCCATGCTGCCCTCTGGGGCCGGTGGCCCCACTTGGTGGACCCCCGGGACCCTCCCGGTGGTCCCGGTACGTTACCGATAGCACCCGAAACTTTTCCGGTGACCAAAACATGACTTTCCATATATAAATCTTTACCTCCGGACCATTTCGGAACTCCTTGTGACGTCCGGGATCTCATCCGGGATTCCAAACAACATTCGGTAACCACATAAAAACATTCCCTATAACCCTAGCGTCATCGAACCTTAAGTGTGTAGACCCTACGGGTTCGGGAGACACGTAGACATGACCGAGACAACTCTCCGGCCAATAACCAACAGCGGGATCTGGATACCCATGTTGGCTCCCACATGTTCCACGATGATCTCATCGGATGAACCATGATGTCGAGGATTCAATCAATCCCGTATTCAATTCCCTTTGTCTAGCGGTATTGTACTTGCCCGAGATTCGATCGTCGGTATCCCGATACCTTGTTCAATCTCGTTACCGGCAAGTCTCTTTACTCGTTCCGTAACACATCATCCCGTGATCAACCCCTTGGTCACATTGTGCACATTATGATGATGTCCTACCGAGTGGGCCCAGAGATACCTCTCCATCACATGGAGTGACAAATCCCAGTCTCGATTCATGCCAACCCAACAGACACTTTCGGAGATACCCGTAGTGTACCTTTATAGCCACCCAGTTACGTTGTGACATTTGGTACACCCAAAGCATTCCTACGGTATCCGGGAGTGGCACAATCTCATGGTCTAAGGAAATGATACTTGACATTAGAAAAGCTTTAGCATACGAACTACATGATCTGTGTGCTAGGCTTAGGATTGGGTCTTGTCCATC